ACTGTGTATGCAGCCTACAACTAGTGTGCATGCCAGGCCCCAAGAATGCCTCATGGGCCCCCTCTCCAGCATTCGGGGTCGCACTCTGCTGGCTGTCGCTATTCACAAACGTGTCGTGTGTAATCCCCTCGGAAGATTGCGTGGCCAGACTCGGCCCAGCTTTCACTGTGCTCCGCGGTGTCGGCTGGAGCTCAGCCAGAGGGGAAGTGCGAGAGCGGGTAGAACGCACAAAGCCCCCCACCTCATCACGACCTCGGGTCACTCCTAACTTCTTCTGGCCACCATCTCCGCGATCTGCCTCTCCAAAACCCCCTTTCGGTGCGGGCCCTGCCATCTTCATGGCCCCCGCTTCCGTCAGGGCCTGGTTGAGGGTCTGGCGGAACTCGTTGCCCGCTGTCGCGCTGGTGTCGATCGTCACCTGGAGCTTGACCTTCCCTTCCATGCGCTTGCTGCGGCCCCCCCATCGGCGCCTTCGCGCTGAAGTGGGCGAGGAAGGTGGAGGTGTAGGCAGGGGGCTGGCCCTTTACACGATTGTCCCAAAAGGCCGTGAGCGGCTCGATCGCTGGGCCACTCGCTGCTACCTTGATCGCATTGGTGGCCAGGGAGAAGACTGTCGCATATGGAGGTCCCATCGCCGCTAGATCTACATGTTCGTCTGCCTTTTCTGCCTCCTTCAGCTTCGCCACTTCCTCGGTGTAATATTTGTTCGCTGCCGATCCTGACTTCGCCGCGAAGCGTGCGTCCGCTAGCCGATATGTCTCCGTGATGCTGGACTCGATCTGCGCTATATTGCGAGAGTTGACGAGGCATAGACGTGCGACTGCCCCGAGAAGGTCAAGATCTTTTTTCCTCGGCCTCCACCCTTGCCGCTCGACGCTGAAGCTTTCCCTTTGGGTCGTTGCGAGCGCGCCTGTTCTTCGTCTTCTCGGGGGCGACGAACTCCGCGCTGCGCATTGGCCCACGCGGGGCGGTCGCTGACGAACATGTCGAGGTCGGCCTCGCCCGTCGGCATGCCGGACTCGCTGGAGTCGGGGCCGGAATGGCAAGTGAGTGGCAGCGTGTGCGTTGCACGCCTTCAAGTCCGAATAACTCGAACCGCAATGGCCACGCACAATGTCCATCATCTGTCCGAGGGAACGAAGCGCCGAGGCTTTATTGACTAGACAGCGCCCATGTAGCAGAGCCCCAGTGCAAGTGTTTCTGCGCACTCTTACGGTCCTAGAATATTTCATGATATACACTGATTCGTAACTGTCGGAATCTGCGATAGCTTGGATGCCCGATGCACCAGCCTCAAATGATTGACAAGTCCCGAGCGAGTAGTGCGGAACGCCATCCATTTCCCACGGACATACATGAACAAGCGCAACATGGAGAGCCCCCACGTTCCCTAGTTTTTGGGTCCAGGGGCCGAACGCCCACAGGGGGAAACCTCGACTCCATGCTAACATCCCCGAAGAACGCCGATGTCGACTCTCCCGGAATCTGCCGCTACCTCGTCCTCAAAGAGCCTCAGGATGGAGCCCCCGGATCTCGCCCACCACGCCGCAGTATCCTCACTCCATCGAACAAGCTCCTCAAGTTCCTCCTGGAAACTGCCTGTCCCACGGATTTGCCGAAGTGCTGAGCTTGTCGTGAACCTCAAACGCGGCCCTGGTCTCGAAGGGGAAAGTCCCGAAGACGGCCCCCGACGTCTGCCTGTGAGCACTCGGCCTACGAGCGCATGCCTGAAGCCATCTGAGCCGTCGTACTCGCAAGTCGATCGCGATCGGGGTCAACCTCCACCACCTGTAGACCTCCTCCGTGGTCGTGCTACGTCGTATCCCGTTCTCCTCCCAGCTCGCCCCCCCCCCCCCGCGCCGTCCGTCTCGCAGGCCCGCCAGCGGCTAGCTCTAACGTCCGAAGCTGAGTTGGCGTCGGAACAAATGTCTCCGCGGCCGAGGGGGCGGTGTTCACAGCGGGGCACTATAACAGACAGCGCCCCCAACGAAAAGGAACTCCCGCCTGGAACCAGAAAACGCCCAACCTGAAAAACGAAGTTTTCATCGCCTTGCTGCGCCCCCCCCCAACTCCGTGCTAAAGGGCTGGACGGCTGTGATAAAAGGCACCCCGGGGCCTTGGGCCCCATGGACCCCGGGGGGGGCGCCGCCTTTCTTCGGGAACTCGAGGGGGCGCGCAGGAGCACCTCTTGTTTGGCCTGGTTACGTTGGAGCCCGATCGAGCCCAGATGCTCGCCCAGAAGAGCACCATTGGTTTGGGCCAATTCAAGAAAGCGTTCAGAACGAAAAGGTGATCCCAATACTGTTTTTTTTGTCCCAGAAGGTCGTCCGCAAACTTCTGGGGCCCCACGTGTGCCCGCGGTGTCCCTGCCAGGATCTGACGAGGAATCGTGGCCCGCAGGAGCTCCTCCCCAGCGGCGTCAGGCCGCTGCCGCTCGCGGGGCCACCTGTCGATGGGCTCGCGGAAAACACGCGCGCACGAACAGGCTGCATGCGGATCGCCCTGTCGAGACCCGCATCCAGGGCGAATCCCGCGTTCACAGCTTTGCACGCAGCGCGACGATAACGCTGCTTGCAAAGCTGTGAACGCGGCTGTGCCAGGCCTCGATTCGCCGCGCCCAAACTCTGCCAGTCGGGCGGGGCGAAAGCATTCGTGAGGCCCTTCAGGGAGTCGCGCCAGTAGTATCCAGCGGCACTGAACCGCCAGGACAGGCACATATTACTAATGAGCGCATCCTCGCGGCGTCGATGCCTAGAAAACCGCGGTCGCACTCTGAGCCAACGTGCCCTGGTCCCAATCTCATCATACCTCTGAACAAACACTTTTTTCAAGAGGGTCCACACCATGCACCAGCCGTGTGCCCTTGGGGCCTGGTACTGCGGCCATCGGGATAGCAAAACACTGGCTGCAATTCCAGAAGGTGGGCATGCTGCCCCAGTATCGTATCATAGCAAGCCCAATCTGCAACCACCCACGAAGAAAAACACCCACGACACTAGTTCTATCCGCTCCAAGACCAAGCCTAGAGCCGCCGTCTTTTTCAGAGGGGGTGCTCAGCAACGTAGCCCACATCCCAAGAGGTTGTGCCCAGGATGGTGCACTGCGACGCTTTGAGGCTCCCTTGCAATATGCCGCCAGGAGTTCAATATCAATCACTGCCTGCTGCCAGGCCATCTGCATTCGGTCCTCAAGTAGACCATGGGAAGCGGGTAAGCGACACCATGCCTGACTAGCCTCAACTAGATCATCCCATTCAACTCTGCACGCAGCAAGTCCCCCTTCAACACCAGGGCGTGATAGTGCACTCATCCATTCATCTGCAGTCGGAAGCATACCATTGAGACGCGTATGGTCTCTCCTTCCCTTGCCAAACCGGCCCCCTGCTAGGCGAAGAGAAAGTCTGTGAACAGTAAAAAAATCTCGGCGCCGCCAGGCAATGTATATCTCCTCCACGGGACGTTCATGTCTTCCACAACGCAAGCACGAAATAGAGCCTTGGCGGCTTTAGTAATATACCTAAGTTCTTCACAACATTTATCGTACTCAGTATCCAGCAGCCCTTGCCCGAGACGCCCCCGAAGCTCACGTCTTTGTTCCAGAAGTGCCGGCCTCTGAGTTACCAGAACAGGTCTCGTTGTTTCAAGGCGATTTCCTTTGCTGAATTGCGCAGCCCCGGGCTCCCTAATAACATCATCAAGTAGCTTGAAAACCTGGTCTGGTTTAGGACACCGCTGTTCCCCATTCCCCCGCACCATCTCTAGCTTGTTCCCGATCTCCCTAACAAGAGCTTCCCTAGACCGTTCACCACCAAGACCCATCATGAGCTAGTCCCGATCCCACTGTGTTTGTTCCAGAACACGTCCATCAGGTAACAGTGCAGGTGGGGCAGCTTGAACAATAAACACAGGGGCCACTCTGATTTTTTACCAGGACAAGAACATTGTCCCTAGGAGCCGCACATCTGATCACCTGGAGCCGACGACCCAGACGATGTATGGGGCTGGCGCAGAACACAGAGTCCGACCATCTCAGAGGTACCGCCACGAAATCAATCATGGATGAGGTGCCCGTCGGACTGTAGAATGTAGGCGAAAACCTCTTGACCGTCGTAGGAACAAACGTGCCGACCTCCTCCATCACTTCCTGAAAGCACTCTCCAGCCCCTCCCCGATGATACCCACGAGTTTTAACCCTCCCCACACATCGTGTCAACCGGTTCCCATTCACCAGAGGAAGGTTTAGATAGACCGATACCATCATTCACGCCACCCATCACGATCGGTTGCAAACGATTGGCAGATCCCGAAGACGTTGCCTCATCCAGTCACGAAGTTGCGCACACGCACGAAGATATGTTTTGACCTGGGAAACCCTGGATGGTCTGGGAGGGAAGTGCACAACCAACACGTAGAACAAATACCCACCTCGAGAGATGTCCACCCCAACAGCACGTCCCTGAAGCGGTCCAGGAGGTATCCCAATCTTTCGAATGTGTTTATGCAGCCACCGTCTGGGGAGAAACACTGAGCAGCCCGCCGGACGATTCGAAAATCATCCCGCCCGCCATCCTGCATGCACAAGGACTCTATCCTCACACTGTTGGACTCGATAACCTTCCTTATCAATCCCTCGTAGCTGGGTGCCCGACAATCCAATTAAGTCGAAGGACGCACACTCACTGCAGATATCCAAGATCCTGTCCCCGCATGCGTGGAGAGGGTTGTAAGCGAGGGTAGACAAAACTCGAGAAGCCATCTGGGGCTGGTCGGGAGCCCCCGCGAGCAAGAGTGGAAGTAAGAGGCCAGAAGATGTGGTGTTCATGACCCCCTCTGCCGCGTTGCCCTGCAAGCCAGAGCGGCGGCTGGAGGAGGAGGAGGAGCAGGAGGAGGAGGAGGAAGAGGAGGAGGAGGAGTAGGATGAGGAGGCGAAGGAGGAGGAGAGAGGAGGACGAGGAGGGGGAGGAGGAGGAGGAGTGTAGGAGGAGTGTACGTAGGACTGGCGGTCCTGGGCCTCCTCGTCTTCCGCCGCCGCCTCCGTAGAAAACACCAGCGCGCCGCCCGGCTCCAGCACGCGCCGAGCCTCCCCGTGCGGGGCGGGGGGCGGGCGTGCGCCCCGCCAACGCCCTGGCCAAGACGACGACGGGCGACGGGTGACGACGACGAGGACGGTCCGCCTCCGCCTGCGCCTCGATCGTTAGCGTCTCTCGTTATCCTCCTCTCTCTCCTCCTCCTCCTCCTCCTCCTCTTCCTCCTCTTTCTCCTCTTTCTCCTCTCTCTCCTCCTCCTCCGCCTCCTCCTTCTCCTCCTCCTCTCCTCCTCCTCCTCCTCCTCCTCCTCCTCCTCCTTCTCCATCCTCCATCCTCCCTCCTCCTCCTCCTCCTTCTCCTCCTCCACTCCACCACCTCCCCTCCTCCTTCTCCATCCTTCCCATCCTCCCTCCTCCTCCTCCTCTTCCTCCTCCTCCTCCTCATCCATCCCCCCTCTCTTTCCTCCTCCTGCTGCTTCTCCTGCTGCTCCTCCTCCTCCGCCTCCATCGTCAACTTCTCTCGTTCTCCTCCTCCTCCTCCTTCTCCTCTTCCTCCTCCTCCAGCTCCTCCACCTCAGGCTCCTCCTCCCCTCTCCTCCTCCTCCTCCTCTCCTCTTCCTCTCTTCCTCCTCCTCCGCCTCATCCTCCTCCTCTTCGTCCTCCTCCTCCTCCTCCTCCATCCTCCTCCTCCTCTCCCTTCTTCCCTCCTCCTCCTCCCTCTCCTCCACCTCCATCCTCCTCCTCCATCGCCAGCGTTTCTCGTTATCCTCCTCTCTCCTCCTCCTCCTCATCCTCCTCCTCCTCCTCTTCCTCCTCGTCCTCCTCCTCCTTCTCCTTCTTGTTCTCCTTCTCCGGCCCTTCTTCCTTCTCTTCCTCCTCCTCCTCCTTCTCCATTCTCCATGATTCTCCTCCTCCTCCTCCTCCGCCCCCTCCTCCTCCTGCACCGCGACCTATGGCGGACCACGAGGTTAACCTCCCACGCCTTCAAAAAGAGCGTCCAAACGGGAACAACTCTCCCTTGACCCTGGCTCAACTCCGCTTCTGTGCGACCACGGGTACCGACATACAAATCTGAAAAAGAGATGGCCTCCGCCCGAACTCGAAGGCGCCACCAGCCCGTCTCCTGCTGCTAGCCCGACCAACGAACCCCGCGGGCAGTCATCGGCAGGGCTGTCAGGAAATGAGCAAGATGGCGGCACCTTCAAGTCCTGATCGCGTCTGGCCACTGCTTGACTACCTTGGGCATCTCGCCTTTGTCAATCTGGCTGAGCGTGAGCTTGCCTTCCTTGGAAAATCCAGGGACATTCGGCCGAGCCAAACGGACATTTGGCGGAAATTCTGGCACGTGGCTTGCGAGTACGGCGTGGCCAACGTCACGGTCACCAAGATTCTAGCGCACGCTCCGTGGCGATACGTCCTCGAAGGACGCATCACAAGCGCCGAGCAACTCAGAAATCTTGCGGCGGACCGCGCGGCCAAAGCCGCGGCGCTACGACACCCGCAACTACCGCGCCTCCGGGAGCAGGTACACCTTGCGAGGCGTACGGCCGCTGGTATCGCCTACTGGGTGGCCAAAGCGGTGAACATCGGCGAGGCGCTGTTCCGTGCACCTGACGGTTGGGGTGCGCCGCCACTGGAACGGGTGACTTGCGCCCATCCCGAGTGCGGGTTGCGGCATTCTGGACGACGTCTGCTTCGTACGGTGCGCTGCGACGGGGAAATGTGCGACCGCCATGGGGCAGCTACGCAGGTCGGCCCTGCGGTGGTGTGGGCTTGCCCAGCTTTTGCCAGACTGGCGGGAACAGCATCGTATCGACGACGGCGCGCCGAGCTCTGGTACGACCCTGCAGCGCGCCACGAGCTGCGGCGCATCCGTCGCGAGACCGCGGCTGGCTGGCAGGGCGCACTCACGGCTACTCGCGCTCGTCAGTGTGGTATCCCACCATCAGCCAATGGAGCCGACGACCAACGACATCCGTTTCTCGCGACGGCGGCTGCGGTGGCCGCGACAGCCGCCTTGGCAGCGGCGGCAGGCGCGGAGCCAGGCCAGGAGCAAGGGCCGCGTGCTCTTCGACGGGGTGTTTTCGACCCCCTGCAAGCTCGAGGGCCCGCGGTGGCGGCCGCAATGGCGCCCAGAGCTGAGGCCCCACCACCCTCCACTGCCGGACGCCGACAGACCAGCAAAGCGGACGCGTCCCGATGCTGTGCCGCTGGCGCCCAAACTTCGCAACCACGTGCGACCGTAAACGATGACAACATGCAGGCCAATAATGGCGCGCCGGACTCTGTTGCGTCCGCCTCTTCCATCGCCGTCCACGGCACCGCTACAGCAGCAAATGCAGCATCAAGGAGTCCAGCTGCCGCTGGCAATGCGGCCGAGCTCGCCGACGCTGGCCGCCGGAACGGGCAATTCAATCGAAATGCTCGCAGTGAGAACCTTCCGTCCTGGTGGAGTGTGCCATTAGATTCTTCGCTTGTGGCAAGCATGGCGCATCCCAGCACATCCAGGACCTCACCGTGGGCAGGTTGTGCCAGCCTCTGCCCGAGAATGTCCTTAAAGGCAACCCTACGTACAAGAGGCGCGAGAAACTCGCGAGGCTGCGCCGTGGTCTCCATCCCTCTGAGGCTGGGGGCAAGCCATTGCCAACACATAGAATGGTCTGGGCTGCCCCTGAGTAGCTTGTATACTTTTCGGCCAGACAGCCGCGTGTCGCCCTGGCATGTTTTCTTCAATGCCATCTTTTGGTCCGTCGTCGAGCCGAGCACTCTTGAACATGGTTTCCTTTAAACAGGTCCTTAGCACGCGTGTTGAGCAGCTGGCTTGAAGGGGAATCCAATCAATCTCCTCCTCCTCCTCCTCCTCCTCCGCCTCCCCCTCCTTCTCCTCCTCCTCCCTCCTCCTCCTCCTCCTCATCCTCCTCCATCGTCAGCGTTTCTCATTATCCTCCTCTCTCCTCCTCCTTCTTCTCTTCCCCCCCAATCTCCTCCTCTCTCCTCCTCCTTCTTCTCCTCCCCCCAATCTCCTCCTCCGCCTCCTCCTCCTCCTTCTCCCACCACCTCTATCCTCCTTCTCCTCCTCCTCCTCCTCCTCCCAACTCCTCCTCCTCCTCCTCCTCCTCCTCCTCCTCCTCCTCCCTCTCCTCCTCCTCCTCCTCCTCCTCCTCCTCCTCCTCCTTCTCCTCCTTCCTCCCTCCCTCCTTTGTCTCCTCGTGACTTCGGACCTGGTGCCAGGCCTGTCTTTAGGTCGGGTCCAGTGTCCACCGGGGCCAGACGTGTCGGCTGGAGGTGCCCCCCCGGGGCTGGAGCGCGCACCACGCCCGCAGACGGGGAGGCTGTCGGGGGTGGGGGGTGGGGGGGGAAAGGTGGGGGCGGCTCTGGAGGGTAGGGACGCACCTCGTGAATGACTACAGCTCCCCCAGGTGTGGAGAAGGAGAAGGAAGAAGGGAGAGGGATGAGGAGGAAGGAACAGGAGGAGGACCATAATAAACCTGTGCCGACGATGCTGCAATACACCCTTCCGTCCCAAGTCTCATCCCTCATACATCCCTGTAAATCCGCGGGCCCTCTTGCGGAGCCATCGGGCTCAGCGGCTTAGGCTTGCTACTCCCTGCTCTAGTTCCAGTGTCCAGTCTCTCCGATGTTACAATTCTGTGTTCTCCTTCTGACTGTGAATTCTTAAAGTCCGCGCGAGGGGGGGGCCGAAAAAGGCCCTGATGACCTTCACCTGGAGAGTTCGTAAAATTTCGGGGGGGGGCCTGGGACATGTAGAAATACGTGAAACTCGCGCCCTCGAAGCCATACTCCATCGAACAGTCAGTCAGTCAAGCCAGGCGCCAGGCAACGGCGCATTGGCAAAGAATCGACAGGAGCACGATTGGCTCACAGATTCCATGAAAACATATTGGCAGGAAGTGCGAAAGTGTTGCAGACCTACACTCTATGGAAGCCGGCTCGGTGCACGCACAGAATTCGCAACATGACCTGCATGCTTGCCAAATGCAAGCGCTGGGGGTGGGAAGAGAGGGAGGGGCCGGGAAGAGGAGGAGGAGGGGGAGGGGGAATCACACAATAGTGCGAAACTGCATGCTTGGATCAATCAGCATACCAAGCACGCGAGTATTTGACTTAGAAGGCACGGGTGCGTCAGCGGCGTCTTCGACGACCACTGCGTTACGGCAGAAGTTCCGGACTGCAAGAATAGAGGATTTTGTCTCGAAATGCTGCCCACCAAAACCTTTCAATCTCACAATGCCGCCCTGCAAACTTTGTACACGGCTACCTTTTGAGATACGGCCTTTCAAGCTCAGCATGATCAACGACCCCTCGTGCCCTTCATTCCGGTCTGGGGTGCAATCAACCATATTGGTGCTTAGAGCTGCCGGCGCAACATCCGAAATGTTTGCCTGTATGTCAGACTCCTCGCTCGTTGTACTCCCGGACGGCGTCTGCAAAGGTACCGAAGCCATTCCAGAGCAAATTTGCACGCCCATGTTGCAAATATCAATCATGTTCGTTTGCGTTGCTCGGCACATCACGCTTTATTCGCGCCCACAAGACCATAATTCACAGGAAAATGTTTAATTTTCGCGTCTCCGAGGCAAAACTCTCTTGTACATTACATGATGTTTGCGTCCCCTCAGCCACGACCCCTTGTAAAGTACGCGTTCTTCGCGTCCTCGAAGTCACAAGCCCTTGTAAGTAAGCAATATTCGCGCTGTCGAGGCCACAATCCGTCATAAAAAGCCCCCAAGACGGTACAAGAGGCCTCCGAGACGGCCCAAGAATGCTTAAGGCGCCCAAGATTGTCCCAATACGGCCCAAGAGGCTCCCAAGAACCCCCCAAGAGCATCCCAAAGAAGGGCCCAAGAGGCCAACATCTGCGATTATGTTTGGGTTTTTGATGGATTTTGGCACGCTCGCCTTTTCGGGCTTCTGACGCTCCAAAATGGCCCAAGAGGCCCCCCCAGACCGCCCCAAGACGGTTCAAGACGGCCCCAAGACGGCTTAAGAGACCCCCAAGATGGCCCAAAAGGGTCCCACGACGACCCCAAGAG